ATTATCTAGGGTTCTAGGTACGTAATAATAGTATTAATATAAGTAGATATACCTCTAGATAAGATCTATACTCTTACTAGCTAGGTATAGATTAATTACTATTAGGGAACTAGTTCTTAGGATACTTCTAATAAGGCTATTATAGGAGCTTATATAGCTAAAGTAGCTATAGTCTTTATTAACACTAAGGTTAGCTAAGATAGTAAAAGGTCTAACTACTAAACACTAATGTTAGGTATTAGTTAGGATAAGTTAGTTAAAGCTATTACTACTACTAATTATAATATAGTTATAGTAGTATCTAGCCTAGACGTAGTAGTGATACCTTAGATTAATAATATTATAGTAGTATTAGCGACCTTTTTCTCTAGATAAGCGATAGGCGGCGTAGTAGCTAATATCTTATTTAGCGTAGTTAATCCTTTAGGAAAGCTTATAATAAGCTTCCCTTATGCTCTTTAGGATATTCTAGGCTATCTAAACTATCCTAGTAAGAATAGTGAGTATATCTATTTTAAAGGTCTCTTTATAGGCTACTATACCTATAATAGTTATAATATAAACCTCCTCTTCCCCTTTAGCTATAAACTAAGCTTCTTAACCTTTAAGTATAGTAATATAGCTATTAGTTAATCTATAATTCTTAATAATAATATCCTTAAGGTTAGCTTTAATATTACTAATATAAGTAGTATCACAGGAAGTAAAGTTACCTAAGTATATACTTATTATAGTAAGCTATATATCTATTATCTATATTATAAGCTAAAGGGCTTTATAAAGATAGTAGTTCCTACTAGCGAAATAGTATAGGTAGAGATATTAATTAATTTAGATAACCTATACTACTATAATACACTTTAAAAGACCTAGATTCTAGATAATAATAATATTATTATTAAGGTTAATATATTATTATATAATATTAAGCTATAGTTATAAGTATCTACCTATTCCTTAATCGCTTACTACTATAAGATCCTTTAGGATATATAGCTATAGATAATTCTTAAAACACCTATTACTTAGGTAAGATTCTATAACTACCTCTTAGATCGCCTCTCTATTACTAAAGATAAGGCCGAGAAGATATTAATTCACTATAGCTCTTTATTTTTCAGGCTAGTTATAATGCTTAATCATTATTTACGCTAATGCTTTCCTAATAATAAGATTTAAACTCTACTTAATAATATTAACTTAGAGATAAAAGCTAATAAAGCAGCTGGTATTATAGACGTATAGTAGCCTATAGATAGATATAGGTGATGCTGTGTCTCCTCTTTTATTAACGAAGTAAAGTATTATTATTAAGAAATAGATTTAATAAATACCTTGAAATATCCGGATGTAGGTATATTAATAGTCTATATTGCCGATGGACTCTATTTAACAGTAACCCCGAATGCGTCCATTTTTATTCTTGGGAGGCATATCGCCCCAAGTTTGGGATTTACATCGGTTAAGTTATACCAGTTAACAAAGTAGAACTTGATAAATCGAAGGAAAGATAATAGCACATAGTAACCTGGTTGAATTGACAAGGAGACTTTTAAGCTATATCACCTAGGGATTATATAGTTAGAGAAGTTTATATAGGTATTATCGGGAAAACGGTTAGAAGAAATATTTAAAGAAGCTATTAATAATTTAAGATTATACTAGATATCATTCTTAAAACAGCTGAAATTATTAACTTAGGATTTTCTTCACGCATTATTTAGTAGTAAGCCCTACCTAGTGATTATACCTTCGAAACATCTAGCCAGGCTCTTACTATTTATAATCTTCCTTCTTATAAGTTTTAAGCTCGCTAATAAGCTTACCGCTATTATAAGCCTTAATAACATTAAGAACCTCGCCTTATAGGACTCCTTTAAAACGCTAGGTAATTTATTCTAAAGTAAGACCCTTTATTTTAATATATATAAAGGCTATAATAATAGTAATAAAAAGGTTCTAGTAAACGCCTATAATATAAAATCTATTAGATAGTTAGAGTAATCTGCTTTTAATAAACTTTACTAAGGTTTACTATAGGGATATATTACTCTTACCTCTAACTAATACTAGTGAGACTAATAGGAATAATATATTAGTTAAAAAACCTAGTAGAAGAGGTAATAATACTATAAAATCTATAATAAAGTAAGTTAGTAAGTACCCCTTAAGCTCCTAATATAATAATAGTATATACCCTATACCTCTTATATAGATAGTAAAGTTAAGTACCTTAGTGTAATAAGAGAAAGATAAAGGTATCTAGGTAGAGGAATATCTAATCTAAAATAGGAAGACTATAGCTATTATTCCATTCTATCCTATTTTATTTCCTATCTAAGTAGCTATAAGCCCTACTATATAGGTGAGGACTAATATATAGAAAGATATACCCTTAATAAGTATAGGAATATAGCTAAACCTATTAATAATATAAGTGCTAATAATAGTAGCAGCTAAAGCTATATAATTCTAGCTAATATTAATAGTAAACTACTATGATTTAGAGGTAATACTAGCTAGCGTGAGTATATTACTAAGATAGTAGGTAATAATGCTTAAGCTAATAGTTTACTTAAATACTTTAAGGGATAGTAGGATATATACCTAGAGAAGGTTAGATTTTTTAGAGGTAAACTTCTTCTACTATACTCTAAATAATTACACCTACTTTACTATCTCTATTATAATTATCTCTTTAATCTCCCTAAACTCTATAATAACTAAAGGGTTATTAATATTACTACCCTTATAAAATCTTACTAATACCTTTAGCCCCTCTTACTTATGACTATGTAAAATAAGCTAGTGGGGAGACTTTAAAATAAGTACTAGAGAAGTAATATAGAATATAGCTAGTCCTGCTATATAGATATAGATTATTTACTAGCTTTAGTCTCCCCTAATACTCCTAGCCCTATACCCTACGCTAGTAGATAGTATAGCACTAATAAGCTAGTAAGTCTAGTAGAGACTAGCTATAAAGCTACGCTAACTAGGTGGTGCTATCTTAATAAGATATATAGGAACTATAGTAATATTAACTACTTTAGCGATACTTATAAGGACTTAGCTAATAAAGAATTAGGCCTTAGTTATAGAAGTAATATAGACTATATATAAAATTAGAACTAGGATAGATATAATTAGTATACTACCTTTATAGCCCTATCTATTAATAATAAGACCGGAAAAGAGACTAGTGATAATAGTACTAAGGTTTTATATAGTAGTTAAAAGACCCTTAAGCTAGGCGTTAAGCTAGAACTTCTACTAGAACGAGAGCTATATATATTTATTTAAGTTAGTAATAAAGAAAACCTTTATAGTAAAGGTTTCTAGATATACTAGAATATTTAGTAAGCTCATTATACTAGAATTATATCCCACACTAGCATAATTAAGCGCGGCCACCATACACACGACGAGTATGACCTGTTTGTGCCCCATGACTGTGGAAAAAAAAAGGCTAGCGAGTTTAGATTTCGACGATCGTTGCTAGAAAAAGAATAGGCGATGGATGGTGTCAGATGAAGCTAGATTGGAGAAATATGAGAAGGGTATAATGCCTCTTATTTAACATGCTCTTCTATTTGCGGAGAGGCCATATTAGGAACAAGGTTATCTCAAGGACCCCGGATCTAAAGAAGCTTAAGAAACATCGTGCAGATACTATAAAGAGGGCCGACAGGGTCTAAAGCCTCGCTTGAGTCATGTTCAGCCTAGTTCGTGATATTGGACAGATAGGGCGATAGAGCCTGACGCTCAATGCTTGGTCCTAATGAATAGCATCGGACCCTCCGCCTTGATAAGATTAGCATAGTATAACACTGGATCTCAATACATCCATGGCTATGAGGTACTAGGTACGACGGCCGAATTAATCGGGAACAAAGACAAGAGTGATCGTTTAGCCGTTTACTCGTATACTAATAATCTGTCTCTTTTCCATGGAGAACACTGAGGAGTTGGTTGAGGCCTGCTATTCTTCAAACCTCTCCAACTGAATGTTTATCGGACAGTCCGCAACACGCCCTTAAGCTGGATGTCGGGCTAGAATGTCGGGGTCGGCTTCCTCTGTCGGACAGTCCGCTAACGCGTCCTCAAGTAAACAGTGATTAAGCTAGCCAGCCCGGGATATGGTCCCATAGCTCCAAGTGAAAGAAAGTCTCTACTTCCATGAACACCTCTATCGACACATAGCGATTCAATCTATTTAAATGACTATCTAACACTATAGCGGGGACTGCTTTTCTAGCCTTGCAGCATTTCGTTTACACACTCTGTCAGCCGGCACTCATCGCTTGTACTAAGCCCTTGCTTCTGATGGTGCGCCCCTCCGGTCGACCCATGAGTATCCAGAAACCAGGTTAGTGTCCCTACACCAAGATGCAGCTCACCAGATGTTGCGGTGGCCTCTTGCTTGGGCTGTCTCCTGGGTCTATATACTTTCTTCTTTTTCTTATCTAGCGCCTCGTGAACAACGAAACCAGGAACCACATCAGGCACTGCTCTCGGCGCCCTCTTCGCCACTGTTGACCATTGCTGCGCAACATGAGCATCTGCAGGCTTTACTGACTTACTGCCTGCAACTCTTGAAGAGTTTGGTGAGGCGGTTCGTAGTGAATCTTGCATCTGGCGGTCCAGTAACCAAGCTGTCAATGCCGAAACGTCTGTCCCGATCCCAGCCGTATCGAGCGCCTCTCGTGTCTCACAACACGAGAAACCCATATTAGTTAGCTCTTGCGTGGTCTTGCATCTCATGCAAGTCGCCGGGGATGTTACTTTGTTCTCTCTCGGCGTTAATTTTACATTTTCTTCAGGGCCCTTCAAGAGCTTTTGTGGTTTCCTTGGTTTATCGTGCTGGCTTCTTGCGTCAGATGCTGCGTAATAGTTCAGTCTGGCAACCTCGGATCTGGCGGCTCTACTCCATGGTGGATTGATGAGCTCTGTTGCACTTTGATCGTGGGACACTGTCTCAGTGGAAGCTTGTCGGCGCATTAGCTGCCTGTGACGTTGTAATACCCCAACCAGTCCGTGCTCACTGGCGAGGAAGACCAAAGGATCTGTCACAACAGCTTTTAGTCGCTTTCTTCGCATACCCGCTATACCATCCACCCAGTGACTTCTCGCCGTTTTCCCTGGCATGTTCTCTAGGCATCTATGGTTCCAAAAATGGGTGAGTATCTTATCAAGTTCGTAAATATAGGCCCCCGGCCCGGTGGACTGGCCAGCGCCCTCGAGCATGTGGCCACAGTGGTGGAAGAATCCTTGAAGAGTAGGCCCGTACACTTCGACGAATGACACCTCCGGGGAGATGGTAAAAAACTCCCATGCTTTGAAGCTCATGATCGTAGACGATATTAGGGCGACGTAGGGTCGGAAGCCGCTCTTTTCCGTTTCATCTCGCATCATGGTGGCCATGGTTCTGAGGAACTCGGCGACAGTCCTGTGCAGAAACTTGATCTCACCACAAGCCTTGAAACTTCCTACTTCTATGAGTCCGCAGCACCTGTTTCTGAGGCGGTTCTCCATGCTTTCTAGGGTGTCTTGGAGATCGTCTGGCGATTTCTGCAGCAGCTTAGCCGTGAGGGCAAGTTCTGGTGCTTGATTGATAAATGACAGGCGCAGCAGCGAAGGCAGACTATCCTCCGTATCTTGCGCAATCGATATGCAGAGGAGCAATTGCAACCCGTGAAGACGATGCCTTGGGGTCATTCGATCGAGCATGTGTTCGTACACCTTCTGCAGTTCATCTGGATAGTCCTCTGAGATTTGATGAAGTTCGCTCAGACTACTACCGTCATTCAGACCGTCAAGTAGAGCTCGAGTTACAAGGAAAACCCATAAGAAAACCCCGCAAGACCTCTTTACAACGGACATGAAGAGCGTTTCAACACCATCCTGATTCCATAGTCTGAGTGACACCATGCGCCGGTGCTGGAGTAGGTGGCTTCTCACGTAGTGGTCAATATCTTGACTGGTTAGTTCCTCCATCCGATTCTGGGGGTATGACGTGAATGACTCTATGAAAATAGGCTCAGGTCGAGAGGATACAACCGCTTTAACGTTATAAGAACGAGCAACAAGTAATCTGAATAAGTCGATGATATCCCGGTGGTTTCCACTGTACTCATCGAGTCCATCGATGAACAGGCAGAGCTTTAAATCTTTTGGCAGCTCGCTGACAACAAAGAGCAACGCGCTCTTCAGCTCAGTCAATGTGAGTATCCCGCAGCCTTCATTCAATTGGTCGCTATATGTGGAATCCTGGAGTGTGGATGACGATAAACTAGAGGCCAGTCAGTTTATTCTAAAGAAATGATCATCGCCACCTACTGGGCTTTTCTCAAGTGGTAACTGAATCGAGACTGCTGTCGGAATATATGTCCACACCCAGGCTGGTCACATTGAAAGAAGGTTTCTGGAGTTTCGTTCGTGATGAGTAACCTAGAAGTGAGCAAGGTTAGAACTGGATCACTGTTTAATTGGAAACGGATGGGATACCTAGCCATCATAGCATTGTACATCTCAGGGAAAGCGCGTGGGATGAGCTCTGAAACTCTGCTTAGGATGCCATGGAGTAATGAACGTAGTAGTCCTTCCTGATTCTTCTGTAGCTCACTTCCCCCAAACCAAAAGAAGTAGGATTCAACGTGGAGGGAGGATTGAGCGCACCATCTTCGCAAGGCTATCAGTGTCCTTGGGTCACCCACCACCAACTTCATCAACGTAGATTTTCCGCATCCAGCTTTTCCACTAATCCAGTAGATTCCTTGGCCTTCCTCTAGCCATTCAGAGAATTCTGTTTGCTCAAAGATCCAAGAGCATGTCTTCGCGTATGCGTCCTTCACTTCAGCCTCTCTCGCGTGCATTCTCCGGAACTGAAGTTGTGACAACACAGATGATTCAATGAGTCTACCCTTGTTGTGGGCATTTGAACTAATCGACGGATCGTAACCCATAACGGCGACTGGGAGCACCGGATACGACCCTCCCTTTTCCACCGTTTTCACGAACGTTTGTATAGCGCTAAGAATTTTCATTTCCCGATCTCGCGAAGATTGCTCGAGCGCGGCCAGTTGCTGACAGAGCTCGTCGCTATGAGACTCAATTGCGTCAAGCAGTGTATTCTCACTCTCCTTTTGAGCAATGGCACTTTGGTGGTGACCAGCAACCTGGTCATGTGAGATTCTGTGCATGGTCTCAATAGTTTCAGCGACTGACTCCCTAATCCCCATTAAGACCTCGGAGCACATAAGCTTTCGATAGTTATCGATCTGCTCAATCAATAGACTGATGGTCTTTTTGTTCCACATAAAGCGGAGAGCTTTGGCAAAAGTTGTGCCTTCCTTATTCAGAGTCTTCTTAGCAGAAAGGTACTTTCGCTGAAACTTCTCCCACTTCTTGGGCATTCCTGTCATCAGGCATTCTTGCTCGCTGAATGAGCTGTCTTCTTCCTTGACTTGTAGCGTCTCGGCAAAATTCAACAGTTTTTGTGCTAGCTTGCTACACTCGGTTGCAATTTTGCGAGCAGTCTGAGATGCGAGTAAGTACACATCTGCACATACTAACGCGGGGGCTGTCCTGGATTTGGAGTACTCACGTAGTCAGACTTTGTGTCGCATGATATACGATCATTGACGACTAGACGAGAGATTTGGTACCTAAGGACTTCAGAAGCGTCGTAAACACTGATCGCAAATGCGCTGCCAGTTCCTTTATCACGCACATCTTCGGCGACTTGGATAGCCTCAGACACCCAATCGATGAATTGAAGAATGTTTGCGGCAAGGCTGATCGTTGCTAATGGTGCGGAGTGCATCTTGCTAAGTCAGCATCAGAGAGGCGACTAGATCGACTCTTAGGATGTAATTGAAGCGATCTTCTCCATGATTATGATCCCTAGGGAGCTAGTTATTAATATTGGGCATGTTGGTTCGCAACGCCTTGCGAGGCAGAAGAGCTGGCTGCGCCACGCTACATCTGCCTGATGAAGGTAAAACGCTAAGTGGCAAACTGCCTAACTAAAGCGATGGGGTGGTGAGATTAATGCCTGAATGAATGCATACCCCCCCTGGACAGTCTCAACTGGAATTTCATTTTGCAAAAAGTTAAACCTACCTTGTTAAGAAGGACCAAGCTATCCTGGACTGGCTCACGATATTTAACCCTACTCTGAAACATAGTTTTTACATAGCTCAACGGCAAGGAACTGGAAAATAGCTACTAACATCAGCCGAGTTCATAAGATAGCTAAATGCCGACGAACAGACACTTTTTTGCCAGCATTCGCTAAACATTATAGACGGAGGTATATTAGAAGATTTCTCGAGAATAGTAATCTTGAAATCAATCACCATCCTACCCTATAGAAAGCTATATCCGCTTCAGGCGAGCGATGTTGAAACAGGTATACGAGGTTGAACAGTAGTTGATTGCAAAAGCAAGACTCTAACTAAGGTCTAGTTGTGCATATTTGATCAAGATCGTTGGCAGAGATCGTAGTCTCTTAACGTGACAAGACTTCCGAGGAAAAACCCTGTGATTCATGAAAATGCCTATAACCGTGACATGTCTTTACGACCGTGAATAAAAGTTTCAATTCCCTGCGTGGATAGACTCGCTTCTGATCCATTCCGTTCTTCTCGCCATAGCGTGGGTGGAAATCACTGTGCTCGGATGCCGGTGGGAAGCTATTATAATCATAAGGTGAAGTCAGAAACATCCAAGAGTGCGAGCCGCGTGGCACACAAGCCGGGCGAGAGCTTCGTATAGGAGCCAATGAGGTTTGAGGGTTGATAACGTTCACAGGGGTTTGATCCTATGCGACGATCCCAGATAACCAATGATACCTTACGTTCCTTTCACTTACTAGAACCGGCACTTAATGCTGTTGATCTACTAATCTTGAATGGCCCAGGAAGAAAATTCTTAATACCTTGAGCATCCCGGCGTGTGGTGTCTTCAAGTTGGCAAGCCGCCCACCATGAAGCTCGCTGCATTGTCTCTCTTTGCCCTCACCTCCAATGCCGTCCTTGGCAGTGATCCTGGTCTGACTGTACGAACATCGACAGGCACCTACACCGGCCTCATTGATCCCAGTTTTCCTAGCACTCGTCAATGGCGCGCGATTCCATTCGCGGAGCCGCCCATTGCCTCACGCCGCTGGCTGCCGCCGCAGAAACCTTCGTTGTCGCCAAACGAACATCATTATTCAACCAAATTCCCGCCGTCATGCCCGCAATTTGTGACGGTAGTTGAATCTATGTGGAGCCTGCCCCTCACCAAGGGTAATCTGATCTACAACGGCGCTCAAAATGACTCGTCGGGTCTGGTAGGCGAGGCGACGTCTGAGGACTGCCTCTACCTGTCGATCTGGCAGCCAACAGGACCGGCACCCGAAGGGGGATTCCCTGTTCTCTTCTTCATGACTGGAGGTGGCTGGATCATCGGGGGCATCGATCTACCCTGGCAGATCCCAGCTCCCTGGGTCGAGCGGTCGCAGTCGGCCATCGTCGTCAGCATCAACTACCGCCTCAACATTTTTGGCTTCCCTAATGCGCGCGGCCTGGCCGGCGGGCAACAGAACCTGGGCATTGCCGATCAGCGAGCAGCCCTTGAATGGACACGTGATAACATTGCCGCCTTCGGTGGGAATCCAGGTCGGATCATTCATTGGGGTCGGTCAGCTGGGTCGATAAGCGCCGACATCCATGCGTATGCTTATCATGATGACCCCATCGCTCAAGCCTACTATCTCGAGTCTGGGACTGCCCCGTTTGGCGTAGGCAAAGATCTGACGTATTCCAACTTCAGCTTTGTGGCGCGAAACGTCGGCTGCGCGAACCCTTGCGGCGTTGGATGTGACGATGAGGATGGTTCAGCTGAGCTCGACTGCATGCGCCAGGTGTCGTTTCTAGAGATCTCAAACTTCATAGGGCAGTATGGCGATCGAGGTGAGAAGCCCCCCATGACCTTCGGTTTAGTCGCCGATGAACGTATCGTCTTCAGCGACTACGAGGCGCGATCCAACGAGGGCAAAATTGCTCGCGTGCCAGCCCTCATCTCCTTCACGGCCAACGAGTTCTCATCGCTGGTCCCGTGGCCGAAGGACAATCTGACCGAGGGTCCGTGGCCGGAGCTGGTCAGTGCTCTGGCAATTGCGTCTGTGTGTGGTTTGTTCAACGCAACTATGTACAAGAACAGAATTGCTGCGAAACCGCCCGTTTTCCGGTTCCAATATGCCGGCGTGTTCCCCAATTTGAACGTCTATGATTGGCTTGGCGCGTATCACAACAGCGAGACGACAATGATATTTGGGACTTATCATCTTCTAGACCATATCGCCAGTTCTACTAGCTTCCAAGTCGAGGTCAGTCAGTCCATGCAGGACCACATCATGGCCTTTGTCAAGGATCCCTATAATGGCCCGCAGGATGCTTTTAACTGGCTGCCGCATGACGCGAGTGATCCAAATGGCGGAGATGTCATTCGCATTGGCGGGTCCAAAGGGTTAGCCGCGCAACATATTCAAGGTGTCGAGATAGACGGTGTTTGTCGGGGCATTGGAGACTATGATCAATTCCCGTGAGGGGCACTCAGGTAGAAGGATGGCGATGTGCTGCCGCCGATTAATGTGAACAGCGCCGCCGACTCGATGGACTCTTCTCGGCTGCACCAGTCTATCAGTATGCTAGCAGAGGGTGAAATGGCGGTACCACCGAGTTATGAGATGGTCGTGTTAACATGAGTGACTTGGTCGTGGTGGTGAGTTCGAAGTAGCTGCGGCATACGGGCATAACATTGAGGCTGTCTATGAGCGAGCTATTTCATTTAGAGTTGAGTATTTCTTAGAAGAAGAAAAAATAAGAAAAAGAGAAGAAAAAATGTGTCAATATAGTACATGTATTCCCCTACCTTTCGGCTGAAATACTCGAGCTAGCTAGGTACTCATGATCACAAACCAATCATTTCCCTTGAAAGCAGGGCGGTAAGCATCTTCTTATCATTATTAGCAGGCAAGCTACTTCCGCCCTCTTGCATACGCCACGCATACTACATACATTAGGGGCATTTCCTTAGGCCATATCATTTTCTCTATTCCTCTTTCAGCAGCTTTCAGCGGTACTATAGCTTTTAACGTTGATGATCCTTGCTCCCCGGTTTCCTGTTTAGTGGGATGGTTTTGCTGTTGGATTCTATTCGCTAGAAGGCATGCATTGCTGCGCTTATTTATTATGCAGGAGGCCACCCCCCAGAACCACACCTCCAATACATGCATCCCACATCCGCCTCGATTCAGTTACCAACCATGGTCTCGCCCGGCAGCCAAGGAATGATCTGAGACTGTGTGTACGTAACAATGAAGTAGCTAGTGCTTTGATTTGAAGACATCACATCCCAGGCGCTACGGATTACTCCATCAAGTTAGTATTATCGATTCCTTTACGTCAACTCTCATCTTGAATCATTACTAAAATTAGGCCGCAGATAACTCTTGAGCCCACATTAGACTATAAGTCGGGGTATCTTGCTTCTCTCGGTGCCCATCAAGTTATTCACTCTCTTTTCATGTCTTACATTTCATTATTTGCTGAGTTTTATTCATCCCCTCGTTCCCACACCCATCATGGAAATGCCAGACTTCGACGCCGACATTAGACGGCTTTCAGAAGTCGCCAATGGAGCCCGTGGGACGGACTCGTATCCACACGCGCTGCTAAAGCTTAGCTACAAACTTGATGATAAATTCCGATCGACCGAAGCCGTCGCCGACGGTAACGAAGCGATAAGAGTGAGCCGCGAACTTCTTGCCATCGTTTGGGAAGACAAGCAAGCGCGCATTGGAGTGATGCACAACCTTGGAGGTCAACTGAGTGAGATGTCTGGGCACCCGGATAGGCTCGAATACTTGCAAGAAGCTATTGGTATAGCTAATACTATTCTTGAATCGACTCCCGAATGGCACCCTGATCGACTTTCAAGGCGGAATGCCCTTGCAGTTCGACTCCACACAAGATTCTTGTATATTGGAAATAGGGAAGACCTGGAAGTGGCTATTGAAATAACACAAGACGTGGCGGACAAAACTTCACCAAACGATGAGAAGTGGGCTTCCAGACAGGCCAATCTTGCCGTCCAGCTCGGTCACCGATACTACCTGACCAAGGCACGGGAAGATCTCGAGAAGGCCATTAGGGTTGGGCAGAGAGCCGTAAACTCGATCTCGATTGATCACTATGATAGAGGCCTCTGTCTGCGCGGCCTTACAATCCGGCTTAGTGATATGTACTTGGAGACTGGAAAGCTGGAGTATCTCAATGATGCTATCGACAAAGGCCGGGAGGCAGAGAAAAGTTATCCCAAGGGCCACGGGGTCTTACCCACACTTCGGAGCAACATTGGGATGTGTCTTAGCTACAGATACTCCCGAAGCCACTCGATGGAAGACCTTGACAATGCCATTGGTCTAATCCGAGGGGCTATTGAAGATCTCAGTGCGGCGAACTCTGAGACTCATGGCGATATGGCTGGGCTTAAGAATAACCTTGGACTTCTACTGGGCAAGAAGTATGAGCGAAACAAGTCAAAGGAGACACTCGACGAAGCCATCGATGTGGCTCGAGAGTCAGTGGACGCAATCCTAGAGAGTCATGTCAATCGGCCACTCCTACTGAATAATCTGGCACTACGGCTTGGAGAAAAGTTCTTATTGGACAAAAGCCTCCAGCACCTTGATGAAGCTATCCAATTATCTCGTCAGACCGCGGAGGCAACACCAGACCACCCATACAGCGCTGGATGGCTCGTAAACTTGCGCAACTTGCTGGATGAAAAGTACAGCTACACCAAACTAGAATCTGACCGCGAGGCAGCCATTCAAGCATCCTACGACGCAATCAAAGCTATCTCATCGGGCAACCCTGTTAGAGGTACATTGTTGAAGGGCCTCGGCGACCAGCTTCTCAACAGATATCAGCAGGAGAAAAGCGCCGAAGATTTTTCGGAGTCAATGAAACATTTCCGAACTGCCCTATATCATGAAGAGTCTCCTATTAGCGACCGTATCGCGGCCGGCCGCCAACTCCTACTGTCTTTCCCGGCATCAGGAGAACGCCCAGCCCAAGAGATGGACAAGGATGCCGAGGCTACCATTGATTTAATTACTCTTCTTGCCCCCAAGTCTCTGCAAGTCGCAGACAAGCAGTATCTTCTTTCGGGGGTGGTTGGATACGCCTCAGATGCGGCCGCGATTGCGTTAGCAGTCGAAAGGGAGCCTGTCAAGGCCATATCACGCCTCGAAAAGGGCCGTGGTGTCCTTGCAAGTAGTCTTCAAGATCTACGCACCGATCTGTCTCAGCTGGAGGGAGATCATCCAGAGTTGGCGAGTTCCTTTGTGGACATCCGAGATACACTGGACAGATCGTACTGGACAGATCTCCAAACTAGGATAGGGGACAACTCCCCGGGCAGCTCCCCGGACAACGCTTCCCAGTTCCTCGAGGCCGAGATTGACAAACGCCATAAAGCCAATGAGCAAATGCAGCGCCTCCTTCAGGACATCCGTACCAAAGATGGCTTTGAGCGGTTCCTGCTTCCAGTGTCTGAAGCCGAGATGCGACAGGCAGCGTCACAAGGGCCTATCGTCATCGTGAATGTCAGCATTTTTCGATGTGATGCCTTGGTCATTGACGAGCCAGGGGTAAGAGCAATCCCACTAGACAAACTCACTCGCCGCGACATCCTAGACCAACCCTCGGATTCGCTGTCCATAGAAACTCTTAGCTGGCTCTGGGAAGTCATAGTAAACCCCGTCTGCGAGGCCCTGGAGCTCAATAAGCCTGACTCTGGAGAACCACGGAAGCGTATCTGGTGGATTCCCACAGGGCCACTCGTCGGCTTTCCGCTTCACGCAGCTGGAGACCACCGAAAGGGTGACGGCAATACCACACTCGACAGAGTCATTTCGTCCTACAGTTCGACCATCAAGGCAATCATACACACCCGTCAACAGCCAAGCCAGGAGATTCCAACCAAGGGAACCGGTCGGGCAGTTCTCATTGCGATGCCTCAGACCGTTGGCCAGAGTTCACTAGGGAACGTCATGGGGGAGAATGACGAGGTGAAGCGGATTTGCGCAGAGATGAAACTACGTCCAGTTTCACTGCTGAAACCATCCGCTAAAGAGGTTTTATCAGAGTTAAAAGACTGCCAAGTTTTCCATTTTGCTGGGCATGGCAGCTCCCAGATGGACCCGCTGCAGAGTAGTCTCCTACTTGAGGACTGGAAAGTCAGTCCATTGACAGTGGAGAAGATGATGGGGGTCAACGTCAGTTCCAAGCCACCGTTCCTTGCCTACCTCTCGGCCTGTCGGACAGGTCAGATAAAGGACAAGAGATCGGTAGATGAAAGCATCCATCTCGCAACTGCTTTCCAGCTAGCAGGTTTCCGACATGTAGTGGGCACTCTATGGGAGGTCGAAGATAAAGAATGTGTGGCTATCGCCAGATCGACTTATGAGTTTATGAAGGAGAATATGAAGGAGAATCAAATCAGTGACTCATCTGTGAGTAGCGGACTTCACCAAGCTCTCCGGCAGAGTCGAGATGATTGGATCAAAGGCTGCGGCAGGACCGGAGCAGATCAGGGCAGGGATATGGTGTTGATAGAGAGCGAAGAAGATGAGCCTATGCCGTCTTGGGTTCCATATGTTCATTACGGCGTCTGAATTCTCTCAGGATATATATAGTTGGAGTCATTGTGTTGAGTTGTCGGGCTCTGGCAGCTTCCATTGCTATTGAACTTTATTCTCTTTCTCTTCGATATAGTTGGAGTAGTGTGAGGTGTGAATAGTGAAGAGGTATCACGCCTTAGGCATTAACTAAGATATTAGATCCATTATATACCTGGAGCTGAGCCAGGCTCCGAGGCAATCTAAAGTTTCTGCTCGCTCCGGGTATGGCTCTATATTTTTTTCGCAAGAGCATTGCGTGCTTTACTCATCTCCACTTCTAGATCCTCAAGTTCTCCGGTACGAAGGTATCTAGCTTAAATCTGGCGGCCTAAAAAGCTTTCAGGCTCTTGACTTGATTGCTTTGACCGTTTGGATCTTGTAGAGCGAAGTGGGGAGTCTTCTTGGGAACATGCAGTCCACTCTCGGACCCCATAATGTTGATGGCCGGCCATTAGTGTCAATAGTATTGAAATCTCTGCAACCCAATGCAAGTTGACGAAGGTAGGCAAGGGGGGACTACGTGAGTTGTCCGCGGCTTATTAGCCTTCGTAGAGAGATTCTACTCCACTCTGACAACGAAATTCGGGTCGTTGCAGTGCAGCTCCTCGGGTGAAAAGGTGAAATGTTGTATAAACCCAGCGCCAACTTTAGGCAGGATACAGCCCAAGAAGGCGTAGAATGGTCCTGGGAGTCAAGGTGGTTGCCAGCCCGTCTAGAGGCAAAGATGGAATGATTTTTGCTTATTGGGGCCAATTCTGAGGTCGCATTTTCGAAAGTGGAAAAGAGAAGGGAGGGTCACACTGGGCGGTCATCAACATAAGTACAGCTTCCCTCTGCCATCTTTGGTGCGGGGTTTATGGAGCAAGTGTCCTAATCCGAGGGAGCCGAGGAGGCCTGCATCGATAGTGCCTTAGAGCATCACGTTATCCAATTGTATTCCTACTCCGACACATCTTGGTTGGTTTCGCGCTTGGGTATAATGTAGTGTAATCCTCTCCGGACCAATCGGACGCCGGTTTTGACCTGCTCTTATCACAGCACAGCCAGGAGGCTCATGTTACGGAGAATTCGCCTTCGAGTGCCCTAAATATAAGGGAAATGTAGTACGAATTATAGTCTGAATCTCAAATTGGTCCGTCCATTGACTTTGGGCCCTTGAGTTTTGAGAACGATATTCCTGGTCGTGGCATGACTCGAGAAGATTCCACAACTGCTGGTGTTACCGGAAAGAAAGTACTTCTCTAGATCTTTCAACACGTATGGTGTTAGCGTATGTAGTTATAGCCTTCTCGGCGGCGGAGGTTGAGGACGGCAGGACTCGCTTTGCTCTTTGGGCTTCGCCGTTGCCGTTACGGCAGGCATTCTGACTTTGCCCCTTTAGGCATCGTTTACGGCAAGAGCGACTCTTGAAGAGCATCAACTGGGTAACGTGGGAAATTTGGAAGTCTCATGTATCGCGTTTAGTAGGCAGATAAAGAGATGATGAATATGGAGTCATCAAGCCAGTGGACACGCCGCAAGAGGTTTCCATACTTACATATTCTATTGGAACGCTAGATTGGATGAATTTCTTAGAATACAGAGAATACAAACCCCAAGACCTTGACTACATTAAGTGAGTGGCCTTAGCAGCATGCCTAGACAGATAGTTGGAAACTGAAGCCGGTCACAATGTGTAAGGATGCTAGACACAACTCAAGGGCCAGCAGGGCCGTAGTCTTGACCAACATGCATCGATAAAAAGTTGACAAAAAAGGTACGTCAGCCCCAAATGGAGTGATGTGTTTACCTAGAGAGACGGGTAATAACAAGGACTGTGTGTGTCGGCATTGATTGATCGGAACTGGTGGAAACGTTGCTCCAAGGCTTTGTTTCCATTGTGGTTCCATCATTACGAAGGAAGACAGGTGAAATAAGGTACCCTTAATACTCATTCGACGAGCCGCTCGTCCTGACGGCAAGTGACTCATGGGTATGAAGGCTTGCAGACTTTTCTTTCCGCATCACTGTAGCCTTGGGCAAGGAAAGGCTTTTTTTAAGCTTTCGTATTCATTGTGTTGAGTTGTTGGGGTCTGGCAGCTTCCATTGCTGTTAAACTTTATTCTCTTCTCTTACGTAGTGGTAGAAGACAGATCATGACCATGGGCGACAACATCGGCGGAACTTAGACAGAGGGAAATCACCCAGGCAATAAACAAGGCAAAGCAGAAGAATCTCAATATATGCAGGGTTTTCGGTGCAAATGGGTTAGCTCCTGGACGAGACCGTTACACCGTGCGCACATATGGAAGAAACGTCTAGTTTCTTTATCCCTAGCGTGTGAACGTAGAATCCTAAAGGATCCTCATCTCTCTCAACTGCATATGACCCCTCGATCCATTTTACCTTGCTAGATTCCTACGCTAGATTGTCTGAGTAGGGTTGCGATGCATGTGATATTGATCAGGGAGCCCGCTCAGCGGTCCGACCATCCAACAAATGGGAGTAAGAGCGCTCCAACAAATCAATGGATAGCATCTCATCTTAGCACTTGGGCTGAGCACGTTTTTCTCAAGTTGATAGAGGCAAACGACGGGACTTTTGAACAGCCCACACGCATCGAGACAGGGGCAGCATATTTGCCGAGTTCTATCGCGGGAATCCATCCATCTTCAACACAGGCCCACGCATCTCTCTCGATCGGGAAGCGTTAGTGTTCGATGACTTCTTTCAGAGGCTGGTAGAATGTGGCGATATACTCGGCTTAATTCAAAATCAAATTGCCTATCATGCGAAACTGATTTAATCAAATCATTGGTTCCAGCTGCCTGTCTAACTGCCTCTAGTGTGCCCACCATCTCAAAGTGTGGTTGCATTAGATAATGGAGGAGAGCATATTCTAATCTTTCAATCATCGGTGTCCTCTGGTAGATGGGAACTCAGTCACTGTGGGTGTCGGGCTCCAGTCTTTGTTTGTCCAAGTACACCAGGCGGAGTTTACAGCTATTACGCTCGGTGCATGTGTGTTCATTTTATACTGAAACCACTCGATAGAAGAACAAACTTATTCACTCACTGGGGAGGCTAAAGGTTGAATGCTCCTATGTGTATCCCACTAGACAACAGATGAATTGCGCATGGCTCGACCTATAGCCCTTCTGTAGCATCGTGTGTTGTACAACGGTGTGTATGTCATGGTGCAGGGAGGTGTCAGGCTACCATGTCTTTTGCAGATCTTCTGAACCGTGCCCTATGTTGCCGGGGATGCCGAGTGTACGGCGCACTTGGTTCCGAAGTCACGGTCGGGGAATACTCGAGCTTTGTCTGGTTGGTCAGGAGTTTCTTTGGTTGTTCAACATCCTCAAATGACAACTCATGTTGGCACTCATTTACCCACCTACCCAATCCTCCATGTCAACAAGCTCACGTGTGACCAACAATCATTTCTAGACGCCATCTCCCACCCAAGACAGGCAATCTTGCAGGGAAAATGCTTGGGTCTATAGATTAAAGACATTGTGAAGAGGCCACTCCGAAGCCAACCACCACGATACGGCCCACCGTCACCGTACATTCACATGCTCCTGTACCCGCCTTCTAAGCCGAGAAAACTACGTGGTAATACAGCGCCAAGTAGCACAGGGTCTGATCCAACAAGCAGCCGCTCTGTCCTAACCCAATAGCCACGTCGTAGAACAGGATACGAATGGGTTACTTAGGCTAAAATTATGCCCCCCACGTTTCACTGCAAGGATCTACAACGCTCAAACCCCGCCTCATGACTGCCGACATAATGCAAGCTGAAGCTATTGCAACGTAAATGCATGGTTCTGGATTACCCGCAATCAGCCGCCAGTATAACCTTAACTTACAACAACACATACACTCACTACCTGGTTGGCAAACCCGGCGAGTCTGGAAATTACATGTGACCGAATTGAGTTGTGCTGGTCCAATTGGGGAAGTGCGAAGAGCAGAAGGGTGCACAGAGCAAGATGTTTTGGGAAATAGAAAGCTCCCCGGAGCGTAAGGGTCCTTAGAAGGTACTGTGGTGCGTAGCGTTTGATGAGCGTACCCATGCTTGGTGCAACATGAAGCATGCTCGGGCATGCTACTCGAGACGTCTCGTGTCCCAGTTGAGAGTCAGCGCATTGATGGGACGTATGAATTGTTCACGCTATACCAAAAAGACACTTCCAAGTACGTAGATTCATATTTCCGAGCTCTGGAAACAGTTAGACTTGTGACACGGGTCTCAGAAGTGTACACACCTCATCCCAAAAGAAACACAGTTGACCAGAGACAAGGGCTTTCCTTTACAAGTCTCATCAATTGCGACTCAGAAGAGAGACTGTACATCTTCAAGAGTGCACACCGCACAAAAGATACAATTCCAAATAGGTCTTATCTATAGGAGCTTCCGAGCTCCGGAAATAGTTAGATTTGATATGACTTGGAACGATCTTTGGATATTATAAAAGGACTGCCCAGTCTGAAATAGAAAACTTGAGGGTTTTAGTTGAAACACAGAACAATTTCTTCCCCACTTATCTAAAGTCCAAGATCAACAAACCCTTACATTCGAAATGCATCGATCATTCATGAGGGTGTTAGCACTTGCTGCCCCGGCTTGTGTCAATGCTATGCTACGCTTCTCCTGTTCAGAACTTGTCATCGACCGTCTTGATCCGTGAGTGGCCTTTTGACTATTAAAAGCTCAGCAGACTAAACTCTCTGTTCAGGCTTGTACAGCCTGGAATGATTCCATCTGGTCATGTTCATCAAATTGCTGGTGGGGTAAGTAATGCTATTACGACTATGACTAGATGTCCGGTATTAATTTGGTCATTCTAGAATGCCTTCAACGTCACCATGGATCCGTCGATCCACCTGCCCGATCTTTCCACTTGCACCACTTGCACTTTTTCAGAGGACCACAGTAACTATTGGACCGCCAATCTATACTACCGCAGCCGCTCTGGCACCTTGACTCGCGTTCCTCAAATGGCCAATCAATATCTTGACGGGGCCAACGGTGGCATAACTGTTTGTAAGGGTACCCGTGGCTTATTATGTACCACTCTCATGCTAATATAGAGTTCTGTTTAGACTACATTCAACCGTATGACGGCTCTAAAGCCACAGCCTTTAAACCAGTAAGCCAAACCCGTTCCAAGTAAGTCGTGCCATCAATCAAGGCCGTGCTGATACAAAGCGGTAGGGCTTTCGAATGCTCGTCGGCAGCCCAATGGTCCGAGGCCCCTCCAATTCGAACGATGCTCAACAAAGCAGCTTCCGCTGCTTCGAACAGAACTTTGGAGGGGTGAATGCTCCTCCGGGTGGGGGCTCGGACACGAGAGACTTCCCCAAGCGGCCCTGTCCGGGCGGTATCCGCACCAACCTGTTCTTCCCTACCTGCTGGGATGGTGTCAACGTTGACAGCCCCGACCACAAGAGCCATGTTGGTAAGTACATCCCTAGTACTAATGCAGAAGAGCGGCTGTAGATTTAGTTCTAATAGATAATCGATAGCCTATCCTGTGGGAGGAACCTTTGAGATGAACGCTCCGTGCCCGAGCTCCCACCCAGTCAAGCTGCCGCAGCTGTTCTACGAGATTGTGTGGGACACTCGTCAATTTAACAACCAGAATGACTGGCCCACCGATGGCTCTCAGCCGTTTGTGTTCAGTTTCGGCGACACTACAGGGTACGGGCAGCACGGTGATTACATGTTTGGTTGGGAGGGTGACTCTCTACAGAGAGCCATGGACCAGCAATGCAATGTTTTCTGTGGAACTCTCAAATCCCAAGATGTCAACACTGCGAACCGATGCACCATTCCCAGGCGTGTCAATGAGCAGATTGATCAGGGTAAGTTGGGTTCTAATACATTCTTCCTCGTCTGGTTAGCAAAGGTTACTAAGGAAATATTCAGGCTTGACCAAGCTACCAGGCAACAATCCCATCACTCCTTAAACATCCAGAGAGTGAGTATTCAAGTACCATGGTTGTCTTCAGCTTTTGATTGGGACTTCATAATGAGTCATAGATTGTTGGACGCCTTGGCTTGGAACTATTTGGGGAATAACGAAAGACACATTGTAGCGATATCATAAATTTCTGCCTAGGCTGGCCCCCGCCTAGTCTAGCCTTGATTATGCGCAACTACCTATTCTACAACGCTGCATGAACGAGTTTCACACAATGTGCAACGCGGGGCAAAGCGACGCGCGGCAGCCATCTACTGCGGCATGTATCGCTTTCTTGTCCGTCTTGCAAAGAAAAATGCCATCGTTTCTTTCCCAATGCTGTGTTATTGTGGGGGTGTAGGTAGAAATATTAGCGAAGATAGGGCACTGTTGGATAAAGATTGCTCGATTTCTAGTAGCTCTTGCACCACAGCCGTCAGAGATACAGAGATGAATAGCAGCGGCGGTAAAGCTAAATGGGTATGCTAGATCTAAACTGAGCTTTGATGCCTGGCTCACTTGAGGAACATGGCTGATTGTTTATTTACTATAGACTAACTTGCAACTGCTGCGTCCACATACTAATGAAATCGTCTAGTAATAATAATCCATATTCATAGGGTTGCGGCTTCGAATGTGCATGCCTGGGGATGGGGAGCGCTTCATCTTCCTGTAACTGTAGCGCCTCTGTCTGAGTTGATTATTCCTGCGCACAGGGGGGCCATTAATTGATCTAGGTCTGGGTCTAGGGGAGTTGTTCAAGGGAATCGGAGACTGGGAATTGCGGCCTGGCCGACGCAGCTTACCAAACTGCTTTTTGATATTACCAGCAGCATTTTTGGTATGCTTTTTAACTCCTCCCCAGCCCGCTTTCGCCTTGTTGACCCCTTTGTTAACCCCTTTAACGACCCCTTTGACGACGGCCTGAGTGGCTTTTGAATTTTTGACCATTCGACACACTCCCCCAGGACAACTCATGATTAATCCTCCGTAGCCGACCGCAGCCTTTTTAGCTTTATCATAGGTAACTTTGGCTTTATCACCGAGTTTTTCAGTCGCTACCTTCCAATTATCGCTCCTGGAAGCAATGATGGCGCCAGTATACGCGACACAGCAATATGCCCCCCCTGACAAGATTAGTTTGCCGAGACGATGGCCAGTGGCGTCACAAACAAAGGCTCCCATAACACAATTTGCTCCGGCAAACACAACTCTTGGTGACAGTCCATTAGTGTCAAAATTTTCAAGTCTAGGTTGAGATATAAGTACATACGCTCCTTGGGTGTCTTGTCCATTCCATTTTGGGCGAGTGAATTTTTTGGGCGCATCGGGGGGCGCAACGGGTGCGGGTGCAGCGGGTTGAACGGCGGCAACGAGCTGGGCGGCACCTAAGAAGACGCAGAGGAAGGCAACATTGAAGCGCATGATAGCAGTTGAAAAAGGGCTGGTTATGTTTCTTTTTTTTGTTTTTTTTGAAAGAGATAGAAAGATGGTAGGAAAGAAGTAAATCATATATGATGTACTATATTGCTTAGATTGTAGGTTCTGTATAACTAAGGCAAATGCTACCAAGATATATATACTTTTCACAATTAGTATACACCAGATCTACTACTTCTTGTAGCTAAATTTAGGTTCAGCATCTCAAAATAACTCAGAACAAAAAAAGAACTCTCCTGATAATTAACCTGTTCAATATGACATTAATCAGACCGATTGGTCTGGCAGAATGCACAAATACACCTTAGATAGCAATATGCAGCGACATGGCAAAACTAATAATTCACGACCAACATTTACACCAGACCTACTATTTCTTGTAGCTAAATAAAGGTTCAGCATCTTAAAATAACTCAAGGCAAGACAAAAAAAGAACTTACCTGATAATTACCCTGTTCAGTATTACATTAATCAGACTGACAGGTCTGGCAGAATGCATATTCTTTGTTGGTTTTCGCTTGTCACAAATGCACCTTAGATAGCAAGATGCTGCGACATGGCAAAACCAATAATTCACGACCAACAACATTACGTGACTTTAATAATCAGCCCACTTTTGTCGATCCCTGTAGATATTACTAATGCCGAAGGAAAATAGCTCATTACATACATAGCTAGGACTTTCTCCAATACCTATACCCTCCTCTGCCTAAACCCTCTCTGATCTAATACGCTCTACACTCTCTACACTCTACACCACAAGCCACAGCTATCATCATATCATTATCCATCTTCTTACCCCTCGAAATGTCTTCTAATACCGAAAACCCGCCTGCGTACCAGGAAAAGCCTTCTTCCACGAAAGAAACGACGGATTCAATTACTACGACTAGCCGTCTTGCTACGACCAGCCGTCTTGCTGGTACTGTGCGCACATTCTCGATCGCAGATCGTTACTACGACTATTTCAGCATTGTTCGTGTTTCTGATTCAAGCTACCATTTATCTCTCACGGTTGATCCTACGCCTCTTTATCGCATTGAACTCGTCTCTGAGCCTACCAAAGTCGGCAATATCCAAATCTTCTCTATGTCTGAGCCCACGCTCCCAGCTGTTGCAGCAGCATACTTGCCAAGCGAAGTCAATGACAAGACCCTATCAGCAGGCACAGTATGCACTTCCTCGCCTACTGAGCCTGGCGCCCTCTGGCGTACTATATCTCGTCCAAAAGCCTTCTCTACAATCGCGGCACCGGATAGGTACTACAGTCAAATACCAATAACTATGGTGCCTGGCAGAGCTGCCAACGATCACGTCTTGACATGGAGAACCAGGGATGCCGGACGTAGTTTTACACTACTCTGGCATGGTCCCCCACCTCTTGTACCAAAGCACCTATATGAGTCAGAAACCGCTGATAAAACGGATAATATCTTTGCGATAGTGGAAAACAAGCCTGATGGTGGGGAAATCTTGGTAACAATGCGGGGGGGTGGAGGTATTGATTTTGAGCTAAGTGTGATTGTAGAGTTAATTCTAATACTACAGTTTAGTGAGAAGTTGGAAAAGTCTAACTAGGGAATTATTTGTTCTGATTTAAATAGTAATATAGTATATTGCTAAACCTTATAGACGGTGCTACTAGGTTCTATTAATTTCAAACAGAGCTTATCCAACATAACTCTTCGAAGCAACGAACGGACCAGGGAATGGTCCAGGAACAGTTCCCATTGGTTTGGCCTCGCTTTTCGCTTTTCGGTGTAAAACCAGTCAAGAAATTTCCTACTTCTGGTATGGTGCCGTGCATGTCCCCGCATTCTCCCCTTGGCGGTGGGCAAATTTGCTTTCGGCATACGAAAAGCTTTTAAGCGAAGCCATGTGTAATAGAAGCTTCGGCACATGGAGCTGCCCCTGGCAGCTTATGAATTAACTCGGTCCAAACCTACCTAAGAGAAAGAGAATAAAGGTTAACAGCAATAGAAGCTGCCAGAGCCCGACAACTCAACACAATGAATATTCGGGTCAAACAAGAAGAGATTTTAAGATTTTCTGGGGCTTAACCCGAAAAGGACTGACGTCTGCACAAAGCCTCGCGCGAGATGGGTCATTTTTGCGGCGGTAGGCTGTGAAACTTGATTCCTAGGTGTGCAAGACAAGTGAGGCTCCCTCGTACTACTATATCTGGGGAATTATGGGATAAGAACTGCATGTAACTTGCAAATGTATAAGTCAGACCGCTTTGCTCGACCACTCAGCTCCCTACCTACTCGACATTGATACATTTGCAACCGGCAACAGCCAAGAACGAAGAATAAACATGGTGAACATCGCCCAGTTCTTGGCCTTCGCAGCCTTCGCATGGCAGGGTAGTTGTGCGAGTAGTTCCTCGAAGCTACTCTTTGGAGAAACAATCGTCGCTTGGGATGACAAAACGGAGCTTCCTAATGTCATTCAGAACGGCTTGATTCTTGTTGTCGACGATCGGATCCAAGCTGTTAGCTCACAAGCCCAACCAAGCCACCTCCCCAAAGACGTCGAGATGATTAACGTCTCGGGCCAAATCATCACCCCTGGGTTCATCGATACATATCGCCATAGATAGCAAACAGCTTTTAAAACTCTAGGTTCGAACACAACGCTAGCCGAGTACTTCCCCGGCATGGCGAGTTCGCCGCCGCAGCACACTTCCGTCCTAAGGACGTCTATCTCGGCCAGCTGGCTGGGCTCTACGAAGCACTAAATGCAGGAGTTACGACTACATTAGATCACGCCCACCATACATGGTCAAATGACACTATTTATACAGGCTTAAACGCGTCCATTGTCAGCGGGGGCCGCGTGTTTTGGGCTTACGCCTTTCATGACATCCCAGCGCTAAACTACACCATCGTAGACCAAATTCCCAACTTCCAGGAGATTGCAGAGAGCTCTATTCTGGATGGAACGAATACTGAACTCGCCATCGCTTACGATTCCTGGGGGCCTGAGCCCGGCGCCGAGGCGAAGCAAATTGCCGGCATGGTCAAGGAATTCAACGTCTCCGTCTTGACGACGCACTATCTTGCTGAACCTTGGGGCTTCGGGAACCTCCCTGAAGATGTGTACCCATTCGACGTGCTTAATGGGTCTGTCCCCGTGGTCTTCTCACACGGCAGCTTCATCACTGCTCGTGGCGCGCGGCTCCTGCGGTCAACTAACTAATACCTGTCTATCACACCCGAATCGGAGATGCATTACAGCTACACCCACCCTCACTCCTACGTGTTTCAGGACCAAGCTGCCCTCGGCGTTGACACGCACTTTACCCTTTCAACGGACATTCTCACGCAGGCGCGTATTTGGCTGCAGTCTGCGTGGTACCACTTCTCCGACGAGGTCATGTCGGAATGGCGCATTCCGAGGAATAATCCTATGAGCGTCGTGCAAGCTTTCACGTTAGCTACACGTTCAGGAGGCCTAGCCCTTCGTCGACCCGACCTTGGTGTCATCCAGGTCGGAGCCAAAGCCGATATTGTCGTGTGGAATGCGCAAGAGTCTCCTGCGCTGCTAGGCTGGACTGATCCGATTACCTCAGTGATTCTGCATGCAACCGTTGGGGATGTTCTCCATGTCGCGGTCAACGGAAGCTTTGTGAAGCGAGATGGAAAGCTCACGGCCAAGAAGTAGCAGAACGTGCGCAAGGACTTCTTGGAGAGCGCAGCGCGGATCAAGGGAAATTTGGGAGGAGACCCTGCTACTGGTGCTGGAAGGAGACTTCCTAGTATATGGATATCCTTACACGGATGCAGCGACTGTAGATACGAAGCGAGGAGAGGGAGATGGATATGGAATGGTATATGTTTAAGGAGAATCAAACTACCTATATATATGTACTATTACTTGCCTGATTCCTATCTCCCCAATGTCCTAGTAACTGTTCAAATAAAGTCGAGTTCCCAAGAGCTCCGCCGAAAATGTTAAGAAGATAACCTTGATCTACTCCCAGTATGCCACTAATAACATCGCTTAGCAGACTGATGACCGGCACTGTGAACCCGATATGCTTCTGGTTTAGAACTCCCTCAATGTACTTAACGTGCTTGCTGTTGACAATGGTTGAGTTCCCAGTGGCGTTAAATTTGAAGTAGCCATTGCTTAGCGACTCCTTCTGGCTATCAAGGACCTCTGACAGGTTCGGTACCAGCTCGTCAAAGAAGAAATTCCCGTCAAATGGCACAGTGTTATTTCCGGGCCTGAGCTGAACGTCGTACAAATGAACCAAGCCGAGTCTGGTTGGTCCGGACTCTAAGTTGAATGTCAAGTTACCGAGTCCAAGTGTGAGAACTCCAGAATTTGGGATGTTGAGATTGCCTTTCATGTTGAACTTTGTGTCATTTGACCTGAGCATGAAATCCAGGTCCACGAGCGCGAAGCCGTCGAGATAATTTAGGGATGGCACCTCGATGGCCTTTTCAAGGTGGCGTTTGTACTTCAGAATACCGAGGAGAATGTTTGGGTCTCCTTTGAGAGATAGCTCCACCTTGGGCCGGTCAAAGAACTGATTGAACCAAATGAGGAGTTCGGTTTCGTTGGTCACCAATATAGTCTGGTTCGTCACGAGAACGTCCGTTCGATGGTTGATGTGCAGCTCTGGGAGACGAAGTTTGAAGAATGGAGAGACGGGGTTCGTTTCCTTGTTATACAGGTAGAGGTCCACAGGGTCAAGTTTCACTCCCAGCGGCGTGGTTAGGGACGTGCGAAGGCTCATGTTAACGTGCGTTGGCGAAAGCGCCTGGAGAGCGCCGCCGTTTATTGGCAGTTTCTGGCCATTGAGGATGTTCTGAATGATCGCTGGAATGATGACCTTGAATCTGGTGTGGCTCGTGATTAGGGAATGCCCCCAATAGGCTGTTAGCCTGTGGCTTTGAGACTTACAGTAACGGGAGTAGAATGGCGAGCAAAATAATAAAGGCCAACAGGTACCACCACTTCCAGCGCTCGAAATGCCGCTTGACCTTCTCTCTTTTGCTATCGACCGGAATAGCCTTCTTGTCATGAGCATGGTCTTCGAGTGAAGCGTCATAGCTCTCAGCGTCCTGGACCGGAGCGCTGTGTGTGCTACCTCTCCTCTTCCCAGGCGAGGAACGCCCGCCTGCGGCATTGCTCTCCTTCTCTGTCATTTTGAACGGACTCTACACCCAACAAAGGGCAACACTGAATTATGTTCTTTGTAGTGGCGACCAAAACATATGGTGCCAAGGGGCGATGATTTGACATATGAAAGATAGAGAGCAAGAGCAAGGATGAGTAGGTAGTGGGCCGTGCCAACTCCTCACCAAATACTGAAAGGAAAATACCACTCCTCCTCATAGTTACACTAACGTTACAAGGATAATGAAGGTCTTCATTTAGAATAGTCAAGGTCCCCTTGCACATACTAGGGGCGGAAGAGATTTGCGGGTCACTGTGCGGGGTTCACACGCTAATGAACAGGGGGAATCAGATACGAAAGCTGATCACAAGACTCCAAACCCAAACGAGTGTGATAAACCAGAGCTACCACGAAACCTCTTCACTCCATCACAGTTGGTGCTGGAGGTCATAGCCAAGAAGCCTGCTGCAAGAGCCCCAAAAAGTTTAGCTTGCGAGAACTATTGCAACGTAGCTTTATTCGCACAAACCGAGGCTTTGACCCGTAAGAAGTTGACCATGTGAAGTCAAGTCGGTTAATTGAATTTTCGTGTAAACGCTTGCTAGAAATCTTCAACAATTCGACAACACGGTTCTCATCATCAATTTCTAACTCCTGAAAGGCACGATGCCATTAATCATATAAATTTCAGCTATTGTGAAATATCAGGCCTTTGTTTAAGGGTGGAAGCACGGGTCTAGGGTAACACATTTAAACACATTTAGACATATTTCAATTGATTACTTATCAAACATTATTTGCCGTAGGCGTATCGTGTACTAAATATACAGCATCCATACTAATAAATTGCTCATTTTACTTTGTCCATGTCGTCACATCATTATAGCCATTATTTTCTGTTATACTAATATTATGTTCTACCCATCAACTGCTTAAGCACGGCATGGACAAGGTCCGCAACAGTCGCGACGAGCTAGAGAAGTTAGTCAGTCAAAGATCGAATACAAAATATCATGACTATACTTACAGGTGTCGCGTCCCCAATGAGCTCTCCCACTTGAGACACAAATGTCTGACTCAGAAGGGACTCGGCATTGCCGAGAAGGCCAATGATGCCATTGATTGATTCCTCGGTGAGCAGCGGGCTCACGGCGCTCAGCAAACTGGCGAGATTCAACTTGCTGATCTCCTCGAGGAGCGGGCCAGCCTGGCCAAGCAGCTCGGCCAGGCCAGCATCACTCAGGCTGGCAAGAAGTGGCGAGGCATTTGAGATTAGAGACTTCGTTTGTGAAACGAAACTTTCGTTGAGAAGATCTTCAGCATTGCCGAGAAGGCCAATGATGCCAGTAATTGATTCCGTGGTAAGCAGCGGGCTCACGGCGCTCAGCAAACTGGCGAGATCCAATTTGCTGATCTCACTCAATAGTGGGCCAACTTGATCAAGCAAGCCCAGCAGGCCAGCCTTATCGAGACCTTCGAGAAGCGGGGCGGCCTTTGAAATGAGGGACTTGACTTGAGACACAAAGTCTGCCATCAAGAGATTTTGGGCATTGCCAAGAAGCGTTACCAGACCTTTGATCGAGTTTTTGGTCAGGAGTGGCGCTAATGCCTCAAGAACGCCTGGCAGGTCGAGGCCGCCTAAGCTGGCGATGAGCGGACTTGCATTTATCAGGAGAGACTTAATGCTCTTGACAACATCTTCTGTTAGCAACGACTCGGCGTTATCCAGGAGCTTGAGTAGACCGTTGATAGACTCCTTGGTCAGGAGAGGTGACAGCGCGCTCAACACTCCCTGAAGGTCGATGTCTGAAAGGTTGTTGATCAACGGAGAAGCGCTTGTCAGTAGTGACTTGATGCTGTTGACCACATCCTTTGTCAACAAAGACTCGGCATTGTCCAAGAGCCCAACAATGCCTTGAATAGAAGTCTTGGTCAAAATTGGCCCAAGGGCATCGAGGACTCCCGTCAGATCGATGTCAGAGAGCTTATCGATTAATGGCGCAGCGCTTGACAGTAGCGACTTGATGCTCTCGACAATGTCTTTCGTCAAGAGTGACTCTGCATTCTTCAAAAGCCCCACGAGCCCCTGTATATTCTCCTTGTTGAGAATAGGGCTCAAGGCATCTAATGCTCCCTCAATGTCAACACCAGAAAGCTTGTCAAGCAATGGTGAAGAGCTACCGATGAGGGCTTGCGTTTGGTTGACAAATTTGGGCGTCAAGAGGTCCTCTGCGTTGTTCAGCAGGCTCACAATACCGTCAATCGAGTCCCCTGTGAGAAGCGGCTTCACTGCTGTTAGGATTTCTTCAAAATTTAATTTTATGAGCTCTTTTAGGAACGGAGAGAGATCCGAGAGTACGGGTGCAATCTCTTTGATGAGTTTTTGAATCTCATCGACGAAATCCGCGGTCAAGAGATCGCCGGCATTCTTCACGAGGCTCACAATTCCTTTGACCGAGTCCTCGGTAAGTAGTGGCTGAAGTGCTTGCAAAAGTCCCTCAAGGTCAAGCTTCGTAAGATCTTTGAGGAGTGGTGAGATGTCAACGAGAATAGGGCCAATGTTCTCGATGAGGGATTGTGTTTGGTTGACAAAGTGAGGTGATAGTAGGGCTCCAGCGTTCTTGACCAAGGAAACAATATCCTCGATTGAGTCTTTCTTGAGCAACGGATCTAACGCATCAAGGACTCCATTGAGATCAAGGTCTGTAAGCTTTTGGAGCAAAGGCTTCAGGTCGCCTAGCAGAGGTGATACATCGGCAACAAGGGACTGAGTTTGGTTGACAAAGGTGGGCGAGAGCAAGGACTGCGCGCTGTCAACCAACTCGACAACGCCTTCAATCGCATCCTTCTTTAGTAAAGGACCCAAGGCGTCTAGAATGCCATTGAGGTCAAGCCCTACAATCTTCTTGATCAAGGGTGACAGCTCAGTGAGCAAGGGTGAAACGTTGCCGATAAGTGACTGGGTCTCATTGACAAAGCTCGATGTCAGAAGGGCGGCACCATTCGACAGTAAAGTGTCAATATTGTTGAGGTTTCCGTCCGTTAGAAGCTTTAGCACTTTGTTGACGATGCCTGGAAGATCGATGTCTGAAATCTCATTGACGAGACCTTCGAGGTTCAATTTGGATACTAAGTCGAGAAGCGTCCTGATCTGGTCGGGAGCGGGCGGCTTCAAGGTTGCAGCGAGGTAGACCATGGCATCATGAAACGCTTGAAGGAACTCAGATGTGAGCAAGCCCTGGAGCGCTTTCAGCAGGCCCGGCAGATCTCCCAGGGTGCTGATGAGACCGCTGATGGCATTGCCAAGATCGTCTAGGCCAGGGATTGAGAGAAGTCCGCTGGAGTCTGAGCTGGTCGTGCTATTATTTTGGCGCTTGATCAAAACTGGCGACCGGTGCAGCTGGTTGCTTTTGAGTAACACGTTGAACTCTTTCAGCGCATCTGTGAGTTCCGATCGAGGAACGAGCGCGAGATTGTGCTTTGACAGGAGCTCGACGAGCTCCAGCTCAGTCCGTGGGACGGTCTTGGGCGTGTCATGAGCCGCAAGACTGAGCGGCACCAATGCCGTGACGAGTAGCTGGTAGAACCGCATTGTTGCGGGAGGGCTGCTGCGAAGGTGGAAGAAGACAGAGGTTGCTGAGGTGGGCTATCGTCATTATTGCTTATACACGTCCTTGCATTTAACCCAATCACTGCGTATCAATTAGCACTTTAGAAGACTCCTGCCAGTTCCCCAACTTCCCCACGTTTCGTTCCTCGAGCTCCACAAATCTCTCGGCCAAGAACGCGGGGAGGGAGATCTTACTCTGATTGGTAGTGTGTGGTTGATCCTTACGCTTTTCGGCATGGGGTTGCCCCCATGCAGCTCGCAAGCTATCTCGTATTTGGTACAGGTCACCATCCATGGCCAAGCTAGGGCCACGACCGTGTTTGCAAGATCTCGCCCGCTTTTAGCATAACAAAAAGTGCCTCGCCCCGTAGTTTTAGAGTCTGGAACACTCCAAAGGTGATAACGAGCTCGTGTTAGTTCAAAGCGGTTCTTGGAGAACGAATTAATGGTAGGAAGCTGACCAGTGTGATAATGTGACAGTGACGCCACGAATTTTCAGCATCAGCTCCCGCTTTGGCTAATCTACAGACAAAGAGCCATCTAGAATCCCAGTGTCCGTTATAATCATTGCACAACCTTGTGTGGTGAGGTCGTATTCAATTTATGACTGTTGTGCTTATATATACTGAATAAAAAGAAAAATTCAATCTTTACCCAGATCTAATGATTGTACTGATTAATTTGCAGCTTTGAAGTCAACCTCACCTTGCCTGTTGATCACACCGACGCGATGGTAGTATGTCGTCGCCCTAATGTACGGATCCAGCTTCCAGAAGTTCAGCTTAAGCTGCTTCACTGATCCGTCTCTCTCGGCATTCTTTCCCTTGCCCAGGTCGAACTCTGGTTCCAGAGACACCCACTCCACCGTCAATCGATGGAACTGGTCGACCAATTGGTCCCGTTCGGTTTGAATTTTGACCTTCTCCTCCTCTGACTGCATCCTTTCATTCTCACCTGGCACTGGATCAACGAACTTGTACTCCCAAGCATCGTCACCACCGTAGCATGTCTGCAGGTTGTCCATAGAGATGAAGTTGGCTAAGCTTTTGTTGCCACTGGTGAAATGAATCTTTGAGGCAATTATGGGGGCAATCCAATGTTTGATGGCATTCCAAATGCCTGTTGAATAAGATTAGCGCACGTAGAACGATTGTTAGATTGTCATTACTTACCCCAAAACACGAATGGGGCGTTATGAACAAGGACTATCCCAAGAGTCTCTGGATATCGAGCCTCTAGGGTCTGAATGAGAAACTTGACAACATGGAAGTCCATGTTTCGCAAGCCAAAGCCGGTCAGATCAAAAACAAGGCAAACCTTATCGTGAGGCTCTCTCGACATGACCCTGAGCATCTCAATATGGTGCAGGACGTATGTCTCCATGGCGGCAGCTGACTGCTTGCTAGGATCATGAAGCCGAACCTTGATGATGTAGACTGGGCGGTCATCTTTGTCAGTCCCTCGGACATAGTTCTTTCCAGAACGGTACTGCCTGATGAATGCTTCTTCATCCGCGGTCTGCGTCTTCTTCAGCCCGACACTCTCTCCTTCTTTGTTAAGGTCAGCGTTGATCCGTCGTTCAATGCGCCAGTTGACTGCGGATGCAAGCATGTTGACGGCTTCAGCGACATCCCAGTTACGGGCGCGAAGAAAGCGAAGAACGGTTGCATCAGGATGGTCTGCAAGAATTGTGTCCCATAAGCCTTGCTTGAAGTTCTCAGGTGACTTGTTGTCAAGGTTTTGAAGAAACTCTTGACCTTTATCTGGGGCGCCATGACTGATGCTCTGACTCCCGCACAGTCGGAGTAAGTGCACCCATGCCTCTTGAAGATTGCGTTTCTCTTCAACAGTCAAGTTGCCCAAGGAACCTGGTTCAGAAAGAAGAGACATTCCGAGATTTAGTGTGTCGATAGCTGGCACCGGTTGATTTGAAATGCGAGTAGATAAGCCATTCATGAAAGATCTCAGTGAAACAATGTTGTTAATAGGTAGCTGGGACCGAGAGATGCAGGGTGATGAGTAAATAACTGTGCTATGGAAGGAGACAGCCAGACTAGCCGTGAATTCCAAATGTGGAAAGAAGCTATCAGAGTTTCTCGAGCCTCTATGTCTAAGCTGGGAGAATAAGAGCGATTTGACAGCGGAATCAATCCTAATTCTGTGGTCAGCTGAGTGGTATAGATTGCGACTATTATCGTCTCGGAAGGTGGTCCTCAATTAGGAAACATTGTTGAACTCCACGAAGACAACCCCACGATGACCGTCTGACTTGGCAATGCACATCATCAACGTACCTATGTAGGGCTCGCAAGCCGCGCGATATGGAGCTAGTATACCCCGCGCCGGCCAAGACGCCCGACTTTGACCATGAGCCGGTAGAAAGACGTCATCCACAACAGCTACCTCGGATTGTAGGGTTCTTTCTCTGCGCAGCCACAATGGCCGATATACAGGGATCCGGACAAAGTCGGTTGCTGAACACTAGAGAGAAGACATGTGGGTTTGGCATCTCCAATAGTCCTCCGTGTCTTCACACTATGCCTGCCTACTGAGAGTAGATTTGTACAGATGCTGAGAGCAGTCTGCAATCAAGATTGGAATATTCTTCTGAAAACGAGAACTGATAGCGATACGATATCAATTGTTTACACTTCTAGCTTAATTATCCACAGAAATGGCCATGGGCTAACGCTGTTCGTTACAAGTACTCTAAATCCGTAGATATGTCTCCCCATTTCGCCCCAGCCATGTCTGAAAAATAATTGGACTTGGGGCTCCATGGCCCTGATCCGCCCTTTGGAAACACAGAACCGGCGTTCTTCAAGTAGGTAGAAGTCAAGGTCATCATGGGCTTAACCGGCATGTTGTCCGATACAACCATTCGCGGCACCACGGTGGTCACGTTCCGTTCTCGCATCCTGTTGAGAATGCGAACAAAGAGCCGTGAGCTGACATCCGCCCCCAATGTCCAGGACGCATTCTCATAGCCCGTCACAAAGAGTAGATTTGGGACATCTTGGAGCATGGCCGCTCTCCAAGCATACCTGTCCGCCACGCTGAAGGCCTCCCCGTCGATCGTGAACTTGATGCCACCGCCGAAATGAAGCTTCAGGCCTGTCGCGGTGACAATAATGTCTGGGTGCAAAGCTTCTCCAGACTCGAGCTCGATGCGGTTCTCAGCGATAGTCTTGATCTTATCTGTGACCACATCTGCCTTGCCCGACCGGATAGCAGCGAAAAAGTCACCGTTCATGCAGGCGCAGAACCGTTGCTCCCATGGGTTGTAGCGGGGTTTGAAGTGAGGGTCCCAGCTAACGTCAGGTGGGAGCTGCTTGATGGTGATATATTTGATGATCTTTTTCGCCAGCCCGGGGCAGGACTTGCAGAGAAGTGTCGTGAAGTAGCTCTTGAAGAGCCACAGGAGCCGGTTGAGAAAGTGGGCCATACTGGCAGGCAAGATGGTGAAAAGAAGTGCCGTAAAGAAGCTATTTGAGGGCAGCGGAAAAATGTAACCTGGGCTTCTTTGCAGCATAGTGACCCGTTTCGCTTTGTCGGCCATGGACGGTACAATTGTGACAGCGGTGGCGCCGCTTCCAATGACAACTACGTCCTTGTTTGTGTAGTCGTAGTCTTCGGGCCAGAATTGAGGGTGAATGACCTTCCCTTTGAAGTTCTCGATACCTGGAATGGTGGTCTGGAGTGGCGTCTTGTAATCATAGTAGCCAGTACCGAGGATGACAAGTCGGGCCTGGAAAACGACCGGTGCATCATCTTTCGGTCGAGCCACTTGTAGTTCCCACCTCCTCTTCTCCGAGTGCCAGTGGGCCTCAGAAACACTATGTTTGTAGCAGATATGATGGTCGATACCTGCTGACCTCGCGGAGTCGATCATATAGTCTTTGATCTTGTCACCGGCGGCCAGAGTTTCGTTGTGTTTCCATGGATTCCAAGGGAAGCCAAAAGTGAACATGTCCGAGTCGGATCGAATGCCGGGGTACTTGAACAAGTCCCATGTGCCTCCGATTGAGTCCCGGCCCTCGAGGATAGCATAGGACACATTGGAAGGTCCTTCGGTTTGGATGCGGTAGGCGGCGTTGATTCCGGAGATGCCTGCGCCAATGATGACGACGTCGAATGACAGATTTTCGTCAATCTTGTCGAAAGAGCTCATTTCGTCCGACTGACTGCCCATAGCAAGCCAATGTGATTGACCAAAGGAATTTGTTGTATGAATCTTCAGGTATTCTTGTAAAGAGATAGGTTCCAAACATAAGGGAAGCAGAAATTGTGTTGCAGTTGAACGCTACTATAGGTTGGTTACGATGTGACATTTCCATGGCTTTCCTGGCAACGACGGGCTGTAGGGAACCTCGGCACCTCGCAATCATATGTTCTGGGTTATCATGGCACATTGTATGGGAACCCGATTTACGGCTTAGCTTGCGAGAAAACATCGAAACACGCGGACGTGTTGGTGGGATTTGTCTCCTGTTGGGCGTTGAGCTTGTCACTAGATGTCAGAACGGGTCAACACATGCGATATTGCCGGTCTTATCCATTCCCTGACAAGGATCTGGTACCCTAGACATGATGACATGCGTAATTGGCAATGTGGGCATGAAAACGATGGTCACGAAGCATGGCGGAACTTATACGAGATCGCAAGCTAAACCACAAAGGGGAGCTGCTGAGAGTAGACCTTGGACCTAAATACATAAACTGCGGGGAAAGTCGTTCGAAGTATCTCCATGTATTGGGTTAGAGCAGGCATCCACTTGCAAGCTAAGCGAGAAAATTAGTTGTGGTCGCCAAGGTGTCAATGCCCACCACTTCATGACCTGTCAAAGTTGCGTGGCAAGGATCCTTTTGTCATTCCGGCAGTACGCTGGCGACCTCCAGATCGACCATTGGAGATGCCGAGAGGACGCGCACGTCATTGCTAAGAGAGACAATACTCGGTTTTTCAGATTCCATGTGAATGAATGTATTATGCTATGAGTGGCTTCTCGCAGAAGCCTAGACAAACTAGGCCATCGAAGTGGTACCTGAACCGGAACGGCGTCACTGCTCACAAAGCCCCCTTTCGGTTGTAGCCACCGAGATGGACAGCCCCATTCTTGGATAGGAAGTCTTTGGCACGCCTTGCCGCCTCCTCTGCCTCGGCGCCAAACCCAACCCTGGGCCCCAGCAGCAGGATGTCGTGGGGGCATCCCTCGGAAATGTCTAGGTGAACCAACCATCCGTGCTTCCTGTAGCGTTGGCAAAACTCCTTGATATCGCCACAAAGCACCTCACGTTCTCCCGCATTCACATACATAGGAAGGCTTGACTTGAGTTGGAAGGGATGACGTAAAGGCGACAGATATGGGCCCGACGGATCGATCGCGCCATATGCGGAGATGGTTGAGGCCCCCCATGTGCCGAATTGCCTGTTGAGATAGTCCGTCTTGTAGTTGGGCGACCGCGTCAAGTCTTGCTCGAGAGCACCACCCACATCCACCCAAGGTGACCAAAGGGTAACTGCCTTGGGGAGCGGAATCTCATCGAGCTGACCGTACTCGTGAATGTATCGCACCAGTGCGAGTACCATGTTTGCTCCTGCTGAATCGCCAGACAGAATGATCTGGCTAGCTGGGATACCCTTCGTTTTGAGCAGGCAGAGGTATGCTGTGAGAGCGTCCTGAATAGGCGCAGGAAATTGTCCGTTTTCGCCGCTCGAGAGGCGGTACTGCGGAGTGCAAACATGAGTGCAGTCCATATGCCGTATGAGAGTCTGAGCTAGGTATCCAGTATCCTCGTCGCGGCCGCTGCCAATGACAAAGCCGCCTCCGTGAAAATGCAGCGCAACAACCATACCGGGGCCAACTAACGCAGCAGGGGGCGGTCGTGATGGCGTCCAAGTCATACCCAGTTGCATAGGCTGGATGGCAGTATCCGCCAAGGCTCCCCGGTACGACGCGGGAGGCCTTGGCGCAATGACTTCGAATCGATTCTTCTCTCGTCCCTGGCGGAGATGCAGTCTGTCTCCAGCCTTCGTGACGGACCAGTACAACAGCAATAGTCTGACTACGCGCATGCGGACAGCCTGGCTCAGTGACCACTTCCGGGAGGGGCGTGTCCAAGGAACAAGGCAGAGGGTGGCGTCGAAAAGAAAATTAGATAATGCCCACGGCAAGCACAGGAGGACCCAGAGGTGGATAAGAAGCGCTTTCAAGGCAGAACCGAGAGCCATCATGAAGCGCCGTGAGTGAATGTCTTTAGGTAAGTTGCTGAATCTTGTGGTCGGGATATATGGTGGAGGGGGATGTGAAGAGCAAGACAGAAACAGAGACGGTGCGAAGGGGCATTCACGACCTACATATACCACCACGCCTGAGAGCCTCAGCATACTTTCCAACTCTGAAGTAGCCGCTAAGAATAATTACTAAGAAATACTGAATTTTCCTGAGATTCGGTACATGCTATAATTTATTCTGAGATTGATGTGGTGGCTATTAGCTCCCAGTGCCACAGCAAGAGTATTTGTTGATGCCCTCACAAACGGGTTCAGCTACAACTTCGCCGCCTTCAAATATCTCAAACGCCTCTTCTTCAAATAAATTAAGTAGAGAATATCTATAAAGCGGTAGGGGGGCTATATCTATGATGGAATTGCGCTCGCGGCGAATAAATATGGCTAATTCACACATAATCTTCTCCGACCCTGCTACTGGCGTACCGCTCCCCTTCCAATGATATCGCGAAGGAGTTCTTGGACCCACGTCGGCCACCCTCGAATACCAGAAATAGCCGAAGCCGAGTTTGGAACAATGAGCTGCCCGCCACGCTTGCTTTTAATCTGATTGACTACCTCGCTGGCAATTTGGTTGGGAGACAGCAGGCGAACGCCAGAGCCTTCCAAGCGATCTACGAAATCCTCAACAAGGGGAGTTCTAACAAAATTGGGATGCACGACCGTGGTCAAGACATTCGGAGCTTTGTAACATTGCTTCAGCTCGCATACCAGAGATTCATGGAAAGCCAATGCTCCAGCTTTTGTGGCCGAGTAATCCGCGGCAGTAGCCAGACCGACGAAAGATGCGATGCTTGCGACCGTAACCACATGTCCTTTGTTCAACTGGATCATGCGTGGCAGAAACTGCTGGGTGGTAAACCACAGAGATATGAGATTGACGCCGAAGATTCTGCGGAGAAATGACTCGGGCATCTTGAGGATGGGTGTCGGCTGCGTGATGCCGGCATTGTTGATTAGGATGGATGGATGTCCGAGTTCGCGGCGAACAGCGTTGGCAGCTTCTGCCACGGACTCTGTAGAAGTAACGTCACAGCGGTAAAAGGAGACCCTATGATTCGCCTTGAGGTCCCCCGGTAGGTCTTGGACATCCAGGACGGCGGTGCGAACACCAAGACTAACAAGATTCTCGACAATGCTCTTGCCAATTCCGCTGGAGCCACCGGTGACGACGGCAATTTCGTCAGGCCAGTTCCAGCCTTGGCTGGCTCTTAAGCGCCACGAATTGTGTGCCATGGTGTTGAGTGTTTCGTTGATCTGCCTAAGAACGCCCAGACCAACCAAGATTTGCAGGGCTCTCTGAGCCGTTGCAAGGTTCAGGGATGACGCGACATGGTCTGGAAGCTTGTCGACGATGGGAGCAAGAGCACCGCGGACGGCTTCAGGAGCATAAGTGACTGTAAGGAGCAGAGGGGCCGTTAGGAAGGGAGAGGAAACAATTCGACCCAGTCGTAAGACATGCTCAATCGCAGGGGAGTAGAGTAAAGAAGACATGGCTGACTTGTAGACGCGAGAATTTAGAGTGGTTGAGTTGATATGTCTGTAGGGTGGGCTTGTGGGCTACGACCACATTGAGTTTGGAAGGAACAGTCAAATTTTACAACTTTTACGAGCAAATCCTTCACTTAGATGAACTTCTTCTGCTCGGCGTTTAAGCCTCGTTTCTCTCGATCGTGACGAGGGACTCAACGCCTTGAGAAATCGGTCAAGCCGAGGTCCGAAGCTGGAAACAAGAACAAGACGGTCGCAAGCTAAACCAAACCAAGTCAAGGTAACGATCAATAAGTGATTTGTTCTCCAATCTCTCGACAAGCGCAGCACATGTTCTCGACCTCCCCTCCAACTCCTGGCCCTCCTCACCCCTGTCAACGCTAAAGATGTTGATCCTGCTACAGCTCGGATGCAACCTCATGTACTTTGCGGGGTTGGGCAATGTGACTGTATTCGTGTATTCCGCTAGCATGCGATTACGTGATGGCATTTCAGCTTTCCCCGGATCCCAATGACGCTCCGTTGTCCGTAAGCTGCATCTTCCCCGAGCTCCCTCACCACAAGAATCCTGGACTTTATCGACTCCATCCTAAGTCGACTCCACTTGTTAGCCAAAATGGTCTTTCCGGGCCGCTTCAACACAGGCTGCTTGCGATGTCGCCAGCGTAAGGTGAAGGTGGGAGATATACACTAGTTATCTCATCTCTTAGCTATTGAGTAGAAGCTGATGAGAGATATTTTGGCAGTGCGATGAAATCAAACCCACCTGTCGTCGATGCTACAACTACGGGAAGCCATGCCTTGGATACACTGACCAATTCGACTTTCGTCATTCGTCACAAAAGACCAAATCTACACGAGCTTCATCTACCTCAGCAAGCCCACCGGCACCTGAAGAGAAACAGGTGGTCGTATATCCGAAACCATGCACACAAGCAGCACGTCCCAGGGTAGATACCAACGACCAACTTCCCGTCTCCATCGTTCGACAACCGAGTGAATCGTACGACAACGTGTCGCTATTTTACTTTATCTGTCGCTTCGTGTCGCCCGATGATACCGACGGCTTCCCTGGCCACTTCAGCTTCCTCCCCGACCTGTACGACCATCACAAACATGGCATGCTCGAAACAGCCACTCTCAGCGTGTCTCAAATGGCCGCGTACAACCATCTCGGAGGCGAGGAACTTCGGACACAGTCGTTGAGGAATTATATTAGCGCCATTCGAAGCCTACAACAGAATATCAACTCGGATGACCAGGCGATTGATGACAGGGTGATTGCGACTATCCTGCTACTCTGCACCTACAAGGCAAGTCTCATCCGCCTCCCATCCACAAGTGATCATGCCGCTAATTTTTAATCAGGACATCAGCGGAGAGGGCTT